TTTCTTTAAAAAAGAGAGAGATAAAAAATCAACAAAGTTGGCCGTGATTGTTAACGGCCCAACTATTTCGATTTGAATGTTGCATGATTTCATTTAATAACAAAAATAGAGTCAATTTTCAATTATAAGGGATCAATTTTTTTTCCCTTGAGAATATGAGGTATAAAAACCGCATTCTCTTCTTCCATTATCCATTTCGCTTTATTGAATTAGGGCCTGTTTACAAGGAGAGAAGGTTACCCCAGCAAACAGGTTACCCTAGCAAACGGGTTACCCTAGCATTCACATATTTCGTCATATTTTTCCTTCGTTCTGTTTACAAGGCAGCTAGGGTTACCCGGGTAGGTGGGTTACCCTATCTGCGTTCTAGGGTTACCCTGGCAGGCGGGTTAACTTTTTCCCTTGTAAACACTCCAGGTAGGTTTAACCCGCCTACCCGGGTTAACTTTCTTTGTTTCCAGACCCTTTGAGTGTAACCGCGCGTTAGTTGTCCCGAGTTGTAGGGTTAACCCTACCTGTGAAATTGTGCTTGTAAACCCGGGCTATCTTTTGCCCTCCAGCTAGGGTTAACCCGCTTGCTAGGGTAACCCTCCCTCCTTGTAAACAGGCCCTTAGATTTTCCCACAACAGACGAAGGAAACGCCGTATGCTTAGCTGCGAGATCGTCGATACAAACATATTTTATATGTTATTTAAATACAGCAACGTATAACCTCCTTTCGTAAATTTTACTTTAGTAAAAAAAAATATTTAAAGGATGTAAATCTGCACTCTTACAAGAATTTATCTTAAGTTAATTTAAACCGTTTNCGTCGATACAAAAACATATTTTATATGCTATTTAAATACAGCAACGTATAACCTCCTTTCGTAAATTTTATTTTAGTAAAAAAAAAATATTTAAAGGATGTAAATCTGCACTCTTACAAGAATTTATCTTAAGTTAATTTAAACCGTTTAAACTTCATGTGGTTATTGAAATTCAGTCTGAAGATGTACATTTAGAATATTGTAGACATGATGACAGATGCGAATGCAGCCATAAACTACCAGAAAAAAGACCTGAAAACATTTTCAGGCTTTGAACGGGATATTGGAATATCGCCTTGTGCTATTTATGTATTGTTGTATTTTATTGTTTCAAAAATGGACCGGGGTGTAATTAATCATTTCATTTTGACAGAGAGCGAACTGGTGAACTGAATACTTTAAAGCTGGCAAGTTTTAAAGTGAACTTTTGTACAAAGAAAGTTATTTATTGCACTAAACAAGTGTGCCATATGTTCTCGTTAGCAGTCCGGAATATCCCGATAAATTAGGACATCTGTGATGTCACGGAACTCACGTTTCAACCAATGAGAACGCGTGTTTTGATTGGAGTGTTGTGTTTCACAACAAACCAAGAGATTCAAGATGGCGGACAAAGAGAGTTG